GACAGGTTTGTTTGTTTCAGTCTTTGTCTGTAAGCTGGATACAGGAACAAAGAAATGTGGTCTGAGCGTCCAAGGTGGGGGCAGGGTGCAGCCCTCTATGCACCACGTATGTTACTGTAAACATGATCCAGAGTGTTCTTGCCCTGAGTGGGAATGTTCACATGTTGGTACTATTTGGGGAGTACAGTCCGTAAATTGCACTGGTTAAAGTCGCCTGCAGCGATAAATACAGCATTGGGGTGAGCTGTCTCTAGCGCGTTGATGACGTCATAGAGTTTGCTGAGAGCCGGGGATGAGAGGGAAAAGCCAAAAGTGACTTTCTTGTACTTTACTTAAGTATTTTCATTCTGTGCTATTAATACTTCAAGTTCACTACATTTTGAAGGCAAATATTAGACTTTTTACTCCACTACATTTATTTGATAACTTTAGTTACTTTTCAGAATTATCTATACAAAATATAGTCTAATCATAAGACTGCTTCTCGATGGGAAATTAACAAGCTAGTGAGCACTAATTCAGATTCAGAAGTATAGGCCAATAATAAGGTATTTTAATTAGCTCCACCTTTACCAGAAGCAACAGTAAGTCAAAAAAAACAACTAACTAATAATAATCAATAATCCAATAATATAATACACATTAATGTGAAATGTGCCATTTCTGCATAATGATTGCTTTTACTTTTGGTAATTTAAGTCCTATATTTTTATGCTAAAACTTCTGTACTTTTACGTAGGTAACATTTTGAATCAGGGACTTTGTAACTGAGTATTTTTATACTGTGGTATTGCTACTTTTACTTAGGTAAAGACTCTGCGTACGCCTTCCTCCACTGGGTCCACCCACTACATTCCAACTTGGTGGAAGCCTGCAGCTGTTCCTGTAATGACTGAATACTACCATCTAGTGGTTATTTTATGTATGTGCACCTCCACTCACTTGAACACTGGGAGGTGTTGTAGTGCATGGGGTAGTTTTACTGTGTCTTTAAAGCAAGTTAATTATTTATTATTATTTACCAAACCCTCTAACCATTAATATTATACTGGCATTGATGTCCAACCCCTTAAAATTAAGTTGCATATTTGGTATTTGTGGATAGTCTTATGGTCCAGTCAAATGTTAGTTATATATATGTTTCCCTATGGGGCTTTACTATTTGTAGTGCATACAACAACCTCTTTAAACTGTCAAAATGGATCTGGAAAGATTCCCCAGAAATCCTTGAAGGGGGGACGGGGGGGAC